TTGTGCAGCCGTGGCTGGGCACTGCGGTGCTGCCGACGGAGTTCATGGCGAGGCCAAGTGGGGCTGTGGGGCAACTCCTGAAACCAGCCGACCTACCCCAGGGCGGCCGAGCGGTCAGGCAGGCTGGAGCAGGATCCTTCCGGCATCCCTGCTGTGCCAGGCTGCAGGTGCGTGGGGGGACCCCAGCAAGGACCCTGGGGCTCTTCCCCACTCCGTGCTTGGCCCCCATACTGAAGACAGGGCTCGCCCATGGGGGCCCACAGTGGTTGGGGGCTGTGGATTTTAAGGGAAGACCCAGCCAGCACTCCTGCACTGCAAATCACTGTAAAACACCAGTGCTCCCTGCCCGTCCGTGGGCTTGGCCAGACAAGGCTGTGCCTCTACAAGCACCAACAAGCTGCAGCTGAGACTCCCCGAGGGGGATGGATGCACCTGTGGTCCTGCACGCTACGGTCCGACACTTCCCTGGCTCCATGAAGTATTTCACCACGTCCCAACACGACTCGGTTTTGTTTTGCAGTAATCGCTTCTGGCTGTGGCTTGCGCCCCTGCTGGAACTGTCCCCTTCGCTGCCCTGCCAGGGCCGGGAGGGGTATCGGGGCCAGGGGTGTGCTCCTGAGCACCCAGACCAGCTCTGTTCAGAGAAAAACCACCCAGGTGCCTCACTGGGGCAGATGCCTCTTGGTTTAGGGCAAGGAAGGGAAACACACCTGCCCCTGCTCTGGCTTTTCCCCCGGGAGCCCCGGCTGATCCAGGATTTGTGTGGAATTCCCCCCCTCAGCACTAATGAGGATTATGCCTGCTGGGCTCAGGAGTTGTGTAAGGTCTTGGCTGCCCTACAAAGCTCTGGGTTCTCATCGGGTGCAGCGCAGCAGATCAGCCCTGTCCTGTCCCCCACTTAGTTCCACACCCAGACGCAACTGGTTGTTTCTAGTATGTTTATTGCAAGGGGACACCAGATCCTGCTCCATGCCCATAAGAAAGGGCTGCCCAGCAGCAGCTGCCGGCCCCGTGAATCCTTCTTCCAGCAGATGCACGCCAGATCTTCAGGTCTGCCTCACCAGCAAGCTGGCTTGAAGACAGACCGTCATTGGGGCTGGATGAGAAGACTCCACAGGCAGCAGCAGGGGCGGTGCTGGGGCCAAGGGACAGTGCAGGGCTGAGATGAGCAGATCTACAGGTAGGCAGGCAAGTCCTTCTCGATCACCTGCGAGAAAGGAGGGAGCGTTGTGCTATGAGAACATCACTGCCCCAAAACCATGCCCAAAACCCACTGTCCCACCCCAGAGGGACTGCTTGGAAGCATGTACCCACCCTGTGCCCGCTGTCCCTGGTGCCACAGCCAACCCCCCCAGAGAACAGGGGTGCCTGTTCTCCCCCCAGCCAGCGGAAGAAGAGAGCCAAGATACAGCAGCAGAGCCGGCCCTGGGGCAGTGCTCAGCCCCAGCACTGCTGTGTTTCTCTGCAGATGTGATCTGTAGAGAGCCGCTGGCACTGTCGCACCTCCCCTTCTCCTGCGCGTCAGGCAGAGCTGTAACACCAACCACACCGGCAGCAGACTTACGTAGGGATCCTCCATCGGGCTGTACCTCTTCACCACTTGGCCCTCCCGGTTAATGAGGAACTGTGAAAGCGAAGCAGCACCCAGGTGAGTACAGCTGTAACGTGGGCTCTGCAGGCTTCTGAGAGCAGCAGAGCACCCCAGGGAGCTGATTATGGTGGGGTTTGACTGCAGCAGATCCTCCCTGCAGGAGCCGTAGCCCCTTGGCAGACCTGCTCCCCCTTAGCTGGCTACTGCCTCTCTGGGACAGGGCTCAAGAGAACCAGGCTAGAGGCTCGTAAGGGTCCCCAGGCACAGGGACCAGGACAGCACAGGAGCCCCTCGGGACGCTCCTACCCCGACAGCCAGGGTCACCACACAGAGCGGAGCCTGCGTGTGAGGATCCCTCTTCCCCACACTGCCTCAGGGCCTCCCTACAGCCCCCCAAAGAGGGAGGGTGCAACCCAGGCACAGCCCAGGAGAAGGCCGCTGTATCCTACCTTGGTGAAGTTCCATTTTATTGCACTAGGAGAGAAAAAACAGAAGTTAGGTTTTGGCAGAAAACACCCTTCCTCTTGCTGCAGCCAGGCCACTAGCTCAGATGGAGCGGCCCAGAGCCGACCCCTCCCTGCCTGCCGTGGGACTGGTGCTTTCCGCAGCTCCCCCTTCCCACACTCACTTGCCCAAGGTGCCTCTTCCTTTGGGCTGGTCCTTCATCCACTTCCAGAGCGGGTGAGCATCGTCCCCATTGACATCGATCTTGCTGTACATGTCAAACTTCACACCGTAGCTTTCAGCAAATGCTTTAATCTGAGCGTCGTCCCCAGGCTCCTGCGGAAGGCAACAGAAGGGGCACGCTGTGAGGGACACACAGGGAGCCCGGCCAGCCCAGGGCTCTCCCTGCACTCCTGGGGAGCCCCCGCCCCGCTCCCTCACGTACCTGTTTTCCAAACTGGTTGCAGGGAAAGCCCAGGATGCGTAAACCCCTCTCAGCGTATCTGGCGTGCAAGTCGACAAGCTGAGTGTAGTTTACAGCAGTTTTTCCTCATTT